ACTTTCGTGACTTAAGCCTTTCTGGCTGTCATGCGGCCATAATTATGCTAAGAGAACTGAATACTCTTTCTCGCTGAATGACTTGGCAGCAGTCGGACGAATGCGCGGGTTAAATTGTCTCTATTACTGACACAGCATATTATTTTATTATCATGCCACATTAATGTATGCATGCGTGTATTCGCATAATTTGATATCTTTAATGGCTACTGATCACGAATTTAGTAATATATAGGTGTTAACAAATAACATTACCTGCATATACACATTATATCATTTGAACAGCGTGTTTATTCTAAAAATTATGTATATATGCTGTGCAAATCCAATTTTTAAGCATTAGAAATTTTAATGAAACGTCGATGTCGATGATCGTAAATTAATAATGTTCGTGGGAGAGCATTAGAAATTCTCTTCTTGAGAGTCTCTTGACTAATCAATGATTAATCAATGATTATTACGATTATTATGTTTACTATCTATACGTAATCTCGTAAGATATTTGGACATCTTTTTCGTAGCAATTTGTGAAAGGGTTAATAGTTCGCGCGGGGTGTTCCTCCGTCATCTTTTCGCCCATTACCCCGTGGCATCTCTTATTACGTATGGAGCGGTGTGCGGAGTGTGCGTCCGGAAGCAAAATCGAAGAAAACGATACCACGCCGGGGTGGTATAATGCTTTCCATGGCACAGCCCCCGGCGTCCTTTCTCACACTCTCTCTTTCTAACGGAACAGAACGTGGTACAGCGCATCGGAACGCGCCGGATCCCGACTGACCTGTGGAAGAGTTGGAAAGGAAACTTGCCTCTAATTATCCTGTTGGGGCCATATAGTAGCCGCGTGAATGCACGCGTGCGCTGCGCCACGTACGTGAGTGCGTGCGTGCATTCGTGCGTTCGTGCGTGCGTGCGTGCGTGCGTACGGGTATAACGCTGACGCGCGATCGAGAGGAGGACCGGACTTCAAGGAGAAGGGCGGCAACAGAATATATTATAGACTCGTTCCTTTCGACTTGCGCCGCGCCGGGCTGAAATCTCGCTCTGGGTTTCGTGTTAACTTAAGTGTCCCTGAAACGGACTTTGTGGGAGAGCGCGCCGTACGTATGCCGCATACACGCGGTTGCCTCTTCTTCCAGTTGACCTCTTAACGGTCAATCTTTTTTTCCCTTTTTTTACGCGATCCATCCGGAAGTGGATTATGGATGATACGAATTATTTCGTACTATCGGTCTGCGTTCTCAAGGGTGAGCAAATGGTCACATCGCGGAGTCAGAGCAAATCGCAACGTTGAAAAATCAACAACGTAGACAGGAAATTGCGAGGAGTATTATTGATTTTTACGCGACAGTTACGTAGAATATCGTAATTATAATTTTAGTGAATTGAATAATAACAATATATAAGACTATTTATTTTCCCCATTTATTAGAAAATTAAAGTATAGAAAAATTTATTAAATAGAGGTTAATATAAATAACAAATTCCATCAATTCCGCAATGAGAGATTTTAAGTTTCTCGTTTACATGTAGAAAATTATATTAACAAAGTTAAATTTGATAATAAAGAATTATTTGTCGATCTCATGGAACAGCGATATGCACAATAAGTTCCATCCTTGAACTTTAAAATCCAATTTGAAAGAGTCTTTAAAAGGACCTACTATGCAGCAACGAAGACCAGTTGCTAGTTGTTTTTGACGAGGATTCTCACCGGCCAAACGGATCCGGATTCGTCATCGTTTAATTCGTCATTGGGGTAGCTTGCGTCTTTTTAACTTTCGTTGCACCAGTAAAACTGGCCCACAATCCGATCGGCCCCGTATATTCTCTTGAACCTCGATTATCCTTCTTCTTTGCGCTCTCGCACGGTTTGTCGAGATAGATAAGAGAGATAAGAGAATATAAGGGCAGTACACAGTTGTAGTTGCATCAAATCTGCCTCTTGATGTATTAAATCTGAATTATAGTAACTATACTAACAATAAGACACATTTAATAAATTTTAAAAAATTATTATATATGTGACAAAAACCAAGAATAATGAATCTAATATAACTGATTATTAATTTATATATTTTATAAGAGTGATATATTTTGAATGCTCATATGTACAATCGATATATTGTATTTAAAATCCAGATACATTTCTATAGTAAACAGATTATTTTTATTTTTTAATGTATTATTTATATGGTTCGCGGTATTATCCGTATTATGCTAGATTGACGCGTTACATTTTGCAAGTCATTTGTGGCACATCGAAATCTTTAATGCTAATTCAGTCGGTTTGCGGTTTTGAAAATCGTGAGACAGTCAGAGGGGTGTATATATGACGAGAAAATTACTGTTATTCTCACGTATTATGTACTCAGGGAGGACCATAGAGAGAGCGACACTGACAAGAATAATCGAGACTAAACTCTCGACCTTAGACCTTTTTTTTCTATGATATCATCAACTTCTTTGGAAAAAGGAAATAATTTAAAAAATTTCTACTCCTATAATTAATATTAGTATTTTATTCAATTTTATTGAACTGAAAGAAATTGACAGTAGTATACAGTGACATTTTGTTGTTTTTTCTGCACCTGCTGAATTGGATACTAGTAATCGTATGTAATTTACAATGGAATACGGGGTGTACTTAAGATAATAATACACGTATAATTTTGTCACGAATTCAAACAGCGTTTGAAATTATACGTGTATTATTATCTTTACCCGTTTTAATCTTGTCACAGTAAAAAGTATTTACTAAAGTAAAGTGTGTGCTGGTACTTACGAGACTTACTAAAATTACAAATATTGCGAATGCATCAAAAATGCAAAATGTGTAATTACATTGTACCTCTATACATATTCATGATTGATTCTGATCTCTCTTTTTCACCTGGCCCTTCTTTTTCTTCTTGCCTTTAAGATTAAAATTAAGATTATCTGAACTTTTTTACTTCAAAAATGAATAGTTATAAATATATTTTATAAATAAATAGATATCAAATAAGTAGATACCAATAAATTAAAAATATTTTTCAAGGAGTTGGAATTAGGGTAGCTTGATAAATAACAGTCTAGTAAAATTATTTGTAACGTCATTCGTTATATTTAACAAATCGTATTATTACAATGTTTCTTTTATTTATAAGAAGGCACTGCCGATCATGAAACATTGTCGATCGATTCGCTTCGCTCAAGTACACAAGTCTGCTCGATTGTGTGATTCATCCGTTATTCTTTCATACAAAATTTTCGTACATTACATAACTTACGGCGCAGTGTACAAGTGCTGTCAATAGTCAAGTACGCAGGCATTCTGGATATTACTCGGATACCCGCGTATTACTTCGGAACACCAGATTTATTTAAAATGATTAGGAGACAAATGCTAAACAACGAAATAATGTCTCGATTACATCTTTTATGTATGTATACATTTATATCTTTAAGAAAGACAATTCATGAAAAGACACGCCTAATCAGAGAATAATGTTATATTTTAATAAATATAAATAATATATAGCATTACTCTCTGAACATCTTTTTTTTATGGATAATGCTATTCAATTCCTAAAACACATAAGTCTATATGAACATAAATGATCTTAAATATATTGTCATAACATGTATCGCTTCTAGTGTATTATTATTACCAATTTGTGTGTAGTTGAGATACATTGAATAAATATCCATAAAGATAAAGAAATAGGAACTGGACTTAATTTAAATACCGAAGTTCTGTCCAAAAAAGTAACTTAATATAATGTATCCGAATACACATGTAATTTTTTGAATTCGAGATGGGTAGATACTCGGTATAGAGATTACTCGATTCATACTAACAGCACTGTAAATAATTATTACATAATAGTATAACATGATAATTATAATTATCATAATATAAATATAATATTACATAAGTATGTAATAAAGTTATGAAAGAAATGAGTAACATTCTTAATTAATCGAGTACACGGATAACCGGGTAACGTCCGAAATATCCGGATACCTGAATATTGACAGCCCTAACGCTTACATTTGCTGATACAGTCAGTGATTCTATAGAATCGTTACAAATTTTATAGAATTACCGCGAATGAATCACTTTAATATATATACACATTATATATAATTATTATTGTGTAATAATAATATAATGCAATACAATATATAATACAACATAATATATAAATGTAAATGTAATATATATAATATATGATATATAATATATATAAAATTATTATTATAATTGTTTCAATATACACAATAATAATCGTAATACCTGTCGACGGATCTCATTTTAAGGACAACCTCAAATTATTAGTGAACTATTCGTTGACACGTTTCAAATGAAAATTACATGATTTCGAGGGAAATATCTTATAGCATAAATTTCTATGGACTTGTTTTCAATTATTAAGTGAAATCATGTAACTTTTTGTATAATTCAATTTTTCATATTTTACATGTAAAAGTAAGAGAACTGAATGTACTCACGTGAATGTACATGTTATATCTCTACATTTCTTCGGATATATTTATGCGTTTTTCTTGAAACTACGCTTTTGCTTAAAATATTTTATGTGTTACGCGATAAATAGTTAAAAAATAATTTGAGAACGTTAAGATGGGTGAGCCATCCTGAATAAATAATTGTATAGACACGCCCTATCTTATAGGTTTACTTTTGGATAATGAAATACGAGAAAATATTTTTGCCGTAATAAATTATGAAATAGAAAAATAACATAATTAGAAATTGCAATGTATTTGTCATGTACTTTTGAAGTACCACTTCTAATTGACGTTTTAAAATTATTCGATATTAATGCGACACATAATTCTAGAGATAATATATTTTCAAAGGTCTTTCGCATTTGTACAAAAGAGGCTAACGTATTACACATAGTTTAGACGAAGTGCAAAGTAATATGACTAGATTATAGTTAATGCAACAGCCGCTTTCTTCGTTACCTTTATTTCCCTTGCTCGTATTGTTTTTGTTTTTTGACTCACGCGTGCTTTTGCATTTGGTCTTTGCTGTAACAGAAAATGGGAAGGGATTTATTAGATAATGTAAGGTTTTATATTAAACAAGATAATAAATATAATATAAAGTTAATAGTTTATTGTTACAAAAGGGTCTCGGATCTTATTCGGATGAACCGCGTCTTTTTCGATATTCCGCACGACTCGCTTGGTCGATCTTTTCGCTTTCGAGGCTTTTCAACGACTCGTCGCCCGCCGTTACCGGATCGAACTCTCGCTCGTCGACAAGACAAACATACGCAAGGACAATAACATTACCGATTATAAACACATACAGCCCACTCGAACATGCTTGAACATTCCGCCGATGTGAAGAGAGATAAAGCGTATCACGTTGAGATCCTACAATAAGCGTACCCAATATTATTAATATTATTTCATAAAATGAAATAATGATTTTTATTCGAATAAAGAAATTAATGGAATATATACTGAACGTTATACATGAAACTTTACGCGAATAATGCGACTCAAAGGCGACATTCAATGCTTGCGCTTTCAGTGTGATATCGATTCTTCCGAATAGATCGTGGGTTTCTTGTTGGTAGAGGATGATAAAAAAGAAGTCCTGCAGGTATGCGAGATGGAAGAAGCAGGGGATGATTTCAGGTAAGGGCGGTTTTACTGCAAAGGAGTCCTGCACGCTCTTCGTGGGCAAAAGCGAGAGAAAAAGTGGAAAGGAGTGGAGAAGAGAGAGAGAACGTACCGGTTCAAAAACCGACAAACGAGGGACGGGAATATCTTGAAAGATGCATTCAGGTTAAACGCGGCAGACGAAATCGTCCTCGTGAAAAAGAGAGGTGAAACGGGAGGTGGATAAAGAAAGATGGCGACAGGGGAAAAGTGAGAGATGGGTAAGATTACACACATACAGAGAAATATGACGAGAGATCCGAAAGTTACGTCCGTCAAGATTAGAGCTAAATGCGAAGGAAGGCAATCCTTCTGTATTTGCGAGTCGTTGAGGTCTTTGAACTAGGAAAAGAACTCACGAAGAGTCTTTCTCGAAGAAAATTCTTAAGAAAACTCTTAAGAGTTCTTTGACATATACGCTTGGCTTCGGATTATCATATTCACATATTTTTTATTTGCTACGTTTAATAATTTTAATATTCGAGCAACACTATGATGTGAAAAATTGAAATGATCTTTATGTTATGTCATTTTTATTAAACGACGATGTTTTCGAGCTTACTTTATACAATGTACATATCCAACCGAAAAAAGGTGTTCCCCGGTGATCGGATCGAGCGACTTGGAAACGCCGCTGAAGGACGAGGGGCGGGGTGGAGTCGGGAAAAAAACGGTAGAAGAGGGACCGACACTCACGCACACACGTATGTGCATTAACGTACTGTGAAAGAAATCGCGGTACAAAAGCGTCGCTCTTCGAATGTATACGCGGTGCCCCTCTGAATGGAGTCTGCGATTTGAATGGTTTCAGCGAGGGTTCGTGCGCGCCATTGTGAGGGGGCAAGGTCACAAATTTACTCGGAAATTTTTTTAAGCTTCCCGGTAACGTAGCGAGATATTTCCCGTAGACGGAATATTTGTCAACTGGTGTGAAGGTGGCAAGCACAAAAAAAACTTTTTTGAGAAATTGAGATTCAATATCAATGTATCAATATCAATTATCAATTCTTAAATCAATTGTTCTGAAGTAAATTTTGGCAATAATGTTATCCGAAGAGTTTTATCTAAAGATAATCCAGAAAATTAAAAATATGCTGATTAGAAATTGCAGTGAAGTTACTTTTGATGCAACATCACAAGTGAGATTCACAGTCAATTGAGTCACAAAAAATTTTTGAGTAAGACGACATAAAACTGACATTCACAATTATGACACGCGATGCAACTCTCTAAGGCCGTAAGATCTTGCAATGTGAATGACCGAGTTACAACTACAAAAGAAAAACATCAGATCACGACACTAACCTTCAGAAGAACGCAGGGGCCTAGCCAATCGACATCGATATCTTCACTGACTCTGCTGCCACCAGGAGATGACATCCAACAATTCCTCATCTTCCGGGCTCATCGGTTCGTAATTGTCGTAACTATCGGAATGCGTCGTGTAAAGGGTGCCAGGCGTGCCGTAACCTTGACTTCCGGCCGACGAGGTTTCAGAGACGAAGCTTGGCGTTGGTGAACTTGACGCCTCTGAGCATGTCGTCGGGACAAAAGTCGTTGGACTCGAATTCTGCCTGAGGTGTTGATGCCGAAGGTCAGATGCATGTGGACTACCGTGATGATGGATTTCATTGATGCCACCTCGTAGTCTCAGTTCTGCCGAATTAGAATCGGAACTAACTCCATTTTCGGATGAGTTGGAGGACGTTGAAGAAGTGGACCCGCTGGACTCGGAACTACCGTCGTGCTCCTCCAGAAGACGTTGAAGACTCCTGATGTATTCCACCGCCATCCTCAGGGTTTCCACTTTGGATAGTTTCTTGCTGCCGGCTCTGGATCCTCCATGAGTCCCAGCAGTACTACTTCCCAATGCCTGCGCCACTGTCTGCGGTATGTGTTGTCTCAGAGTAGCGAATCCGTTGTTCACCTGCTTCACCCTGTTGCGTTCACGCGCATTTCGCCTAGCCACCGAGGCGGGCTGATGCGGTACCGTGCCGTAAGGTCCAGTCGCTTGTCCGTAGATCTTGGATCGCTTGCACCCGTGTTGTAGAGTACTGTTATTGGTTGGCATGCTATTAGTGGAGACAATCACGTTGCCGCGATGGGTCTGCGCGCTCGAAGTGGCGTGAAGGCCGTGGTGATGATGCTGCTGCTGCACACTCAGCATGATGGGCAGGATGCTCTCCTCCTTGGACCCCACTAAGGTCATATCACGAATCCCCCCACCACCCGGGAGCAGGAATTGTAGCAGCGCGTGCCAGGCGACCTTCGTGCGACGTACACTGCTCGACGTATCGAAGAGAAACTTTGCCGAGGTGAGGTCGATGCGACTCGTTAACACCTCGTAGTACGCGCGTATCGTGAAAATGAGAAAAAACAGACCAAAAGCGTGTGGTTTACTCGACCGACCGAAAAGAAAAGCGTGGGAAGAAAAATTAATCCGCACCCTCGATGCTCTCGGTACGATTCTGGCTCCCGAAATGCTTAGCCAATGAGGGTTCGGGGCCTTATATAGCCGGGGCGGGCACGCGCCTATCCCCACGCACTCTCGATCTCGGGTCCTAAACCCCCGTCTTCTCCCCTTCCCCCGTTTTACCGGCCCACAGCGCCTCATACCCCCGTGATTCCCCACTACTGCGGTCCCAAAGGCCCTACGCTGCCCGAGATTCTCATCTTCGATCGTCCTAGTACGCCGCTACTATCCTGATCTGTTTACCGATTTACCTTTTGGAGCACGCCGCGCTGTTATCAATATGATAGGACTTATCGTCGGCGTGTGCCGTCAAAGTAGTTGACGAATTGATAAGCTAACGTTAATGCTAGAAAAAGATAAATCGAAAAAGATGTGGCTTATATACTCTTTTTTTTTATTACGTTTGTACATGACTAGACAATTAACTCTTGTGTGTATAAATAGTAATTACATTTTCTTCTATATTTTACTTGTCCCTCTTCATATCCACACAACAAACAAAATGTGCATATGTTACGTGCACTAAAATCTGATTTGGAAAAATGTATCTTGCAAGAAAAAAACAAATAATTTGCTTTTGGACCAAAAATACTGATAAAAAAAATGTACAGGTACGATATTATTGGAAAAAGTTAGAGAGATTATGAAAGGAAAGAGATAGAATACAAATTTTGATACTATAGTTACTATTTTAAAGAACATTTTTACAAATTGTCGTCTACAGATAAGAATTAATTTGCAATCTACACAAAATCTATTTATAAATAATTTCTTAATTAATAGTTGAAGTAAAATAAGGCCCAATGTCTATATATCCAATCGTTTCGCGATTCCCGTGTGAGAAACACTGGCGTGCACATATGAAGGGTCCACATCCCCACCGGCCTCGCGGTGTCTCGGGGATCGAAATTTGAACAGTTACCGGGAGAAAGAAAAGCTGGTCCGGGGGCCCGGGCAAGTTGACTGAGTGAGATGGCGAAAGAGCGAAGTGTAGAATATACGACGAGGACAGAAGCTGCAGAAGAAGAAGAAGAAGAATGATGAGGAACAAGGAGTGGGAGGAGATGGAGAGGTCCGCGGCTGTAGAGAAGCTGTGCAGAAGACGAAGAGGCATCGGAGGAGGGTAAGGGAGCCCGGTGGCACGGAACATACGAGTACCCGAGACGACTGCAACAGTGGGGAGAAGCAGCGGCAGAAGAGTATAGCGATGGGCACGACTGCGGCACGTGTCTTTATTTTATATAGCACATATTTTGATATAAGCCCATTACAAAACATTGGAAAAGATGAAGAATATTTTGAAAATTTTAGTAGCTAATATATTGCTAATTTATTACCGAATTGGAAATGTATATAAAAGTGCAGAGCTATACGAAAGAAAAGTTCAGTTTCTTCGCGAAACATTGAAAACCGTGAAAGGGGTAGCAGGTGATGCATAGGCCATGATATACTGGCCTTAGAAAAAAATTTTTATTTTTGATATACCAAGTTGTCTGAAAGAAATGGAACCAATGATATCGGTTCACTGCCGTCACTAGTAAAGAAGACATGTATGACGACAAAGAGGAAGGGGAAGAGACGCGAGCCGTCCTCCCTTCCTCACATTCGTGGCGCGCGCCTACTCCCATCCACCGACTCTCCCTCTCCCCATTCGTCCGGTTTTATCCTCACCGAACGGAGCGTGCGTCTGCATGCGTGCGTGCATGCGTGTATGAGGGCGCACGCGTTCTTGCTCAGGCCTCGTGCTTAAGGGGGTTTGTGTGGGGGATGTGCGTGAGGAGTCGCGTTCCTGTACGCGTACACGTCTGTGCATGTGCGTGCTCGCGCGTGGAACAGGTATATGCTCTCCTCGTTTCTTTTTTTTCTCCCTTTCGATTCTGGCGGTTCTTCCCGTCTCTCTCTTCGCGGGTCTGTCTTTCTTCTTGTCGAAAAGGCGACGCGTGAGGGAGCGTTATAGGGCGGTAGGGTCCCGCTGGACATTCCTACGTGAATAAATAAACGTCAGGCGGACGCCCGACGGTTTGGATAGATAATAGATGTGCGCTTTGAAGCTTTCGATAAGGATGTGTAGGAACGCGGGAAGAGATAGCGCGTCTCGATGCGAATGTTGAAGCGCGAATCAGTAAAATAATAACATAAAACGCGCAATATTTAATGTGCGGTACTACAGAGCTGCAAATTTTATGTTAATATTAATTTTATATTTGTCATCATTGAATTTGTTTCAATGGAATTTATCGATATTAAAAGTACATCTTTTTCATAGCGTTGATCATTTAAATGTTAAATATTACATGAATATTCTTTATTGTATACAATTGGTATGGTCAATAATTGCTACGTATTTAACATGTACACATACGGCCAATGAAAAAATTACAAGTGTTATTTAATCTGAAAAGAGTAAGGAATTCAAAAGCATCACTAGGCGCGCGGCGGTGTCAAAGAGGAACCGGAGTGATCGTATACATAAAGAATGGAGGCGGGATGGAGATTTTTCGAGTGGAAAGAAAGAACGAAAGTAAATTCGTGATAGCCTTATTACTTTAAACCTTCGAATTAGAATTTATTCCGTAATTATATTCCTCGGGGGCCTCTCGATTCTCTCTTGCCAAACACTTTGCCGTTAATTACCGTGGAATTAATTACCGTGTCGAGTGGTGAGATGAACGATGCCACGTTTGTGTTCTCCAAGTCAACCCTTGCAGGGTACGTCGACTCCGATGCAACTGCGATCCGAAACGCGCGTTGCAGTCGTCTCGCGCCTCGGGCACGGTCTTAGATGTTAGATCGTTCGGATCATTGTCCCGCGCGATCATAGAGATTAGGGACTTTCTGGTTGGCCGGATGAAGTATGGACCGTGGATGCAGCGCTATGCAGTTGTTACAATTTCTCTCAGCCCTTTTGTTCTCCATCATTTTCACGACGGAGGCGTTTAGAGCAGTTTAGTTCTATAATACGTTGTTGTAATAATATACCGGTGTTGATTTGTGTCTATTACACGGTACTATAAACAGTTTAACAAGTATCTAAGTATAAATGATAATAATAGTTATGGTTTGTTCTCCTACATTAAATAATTTTTGTCAGGTATATATAAATACGTATATATATTATATGTACGTATATCTAACTCGTCTATATAATTATTTTTTGATATTGTGAAATTAATCACTTTGTAAAGTGCTTTATTCAGATACGTCACGCGTAAAGAGAATTTTTTTAGATCCCTTATTAACTGCAGACGCTTTATAACGGCGACAAGGCCGATAATGATCGTCCTCGAAAAATTGCGTCGACTATAAAGCAAAACGCATCGTCACCAAGATCATTTATAATAATAAAGATATCGAGAGAGAAAGTAACGAATTTCATCGTGGATATATGACAGTCTGTGCTTTTATTTTCTTACAAATCTCAAGTGTTGTGATGAATGTAACATTGAATGTTGGCGCACAATATATGTAATAATTATAATAATTAATTAACAACAGCTAATTAACTTTGAATAAGTTTATGATCTTTACGACTTTTTATAAGGATTATTAATTATGCTCATGAAAATGCCGTGTTTCTTACCGTAACAGTAAACTCAACATTGTCGTAATCAAATTTGTAAAAAATTAGATAGATGACATGTGCAACACACAGGTTTGCCAGAAAAATACGTGTTTTCACGTGTCGGCAGGTCGACACCGACTCGCATATGTAATGTACAAATACTTCAGTGTTCTGGAATGAGCAGGGAGACGAGGAGGGCAGTTCGAGGGAGAGAATTTACTCATGCATACGTCTATTTCGTGAAGGGTCATGTGGGGTTGCCGAACACAGAATATAATCGGCGACACATATGGCGTGCAAACGCATGTAGGCAGTGCGTATTGGTGCGTGAGCCAACGTACCTAACATATGTCGCAGCAGGTTGGCCGGATACTGACATTGCTGATTAATTCATTCGTATCAATATCCCGAAGATTTTTTAAGCCTTTAACAATAATGGAGATTAGGAAAATTCTATATGATCGTTAGGGAGATTGTGTAGTAGTTAGAAAATATCTAAATTAATTATTGAATCAATTAAATATTAACAATTAATTAATTATGAATGTGCGCCACGTGAAAAAAGACACTGTAATGTGTAATAATTAGTTTATAAGACAATTGTTTATAACAATTTATAAGAAATATAAAAGAAAACTCGATCAGTATATAAAATAATCGTATCGAAGAATATTAATTGTTCGAATAAACGGTGCACGTTATTAAGATGGCGCCAATTACCATTGAGAAGCGCATATGCATATGCACTTATCATGTCGGCGTAATTAAACCGCTCTTTGCATCCCAGCACGCGCGTGCATTAATGGACGATACGCACTTTATTTAAGAGACACGTAAAAATTTTTGACAAGGAGGTACTTATCGGAATTTATCTTTCCAACTCATCCTTCCTGAATCCCATCTCACAGAGGAAAAGAAAAAAAGAATGGTCGGCGAGTTTCGCCGCGACGAATTAATTCGTATGAGATGCCACTCGCATGTGTGCTTTTATCAAGATAAACCAGTAAATAAATACATTTTAATAAGTTTATAGAAAAAGAGAACATTTTAGCAACATGTGTATCTTCGGCAATACTGTTATATTAATGTTATGAAATTAATTTTCAAGACGAAAAGATGCGGTATATTAAAGCACGTGCACAGTCATTGCATCTGCATATACTGCACATATACATACGTACATAAAAATTCGTTTTATCGTTTCGTTTTATTCTTCACATTATTCATTATTCATTATATTCGTTTGCTAGCCTCGATTCCGGAATTTCGCGTTTACTCTGCGGGAGGTCCTCGAGGTAAATTGAGAATCGTCTCATCACTTTTGTTGACCGAAGGGTGGGATTCTAGAATCCACTACATTCTGGATTTGTCACGTTGAGGCAAATACGTTATTTGCTTACCGGCACCCGGCGAATTGCGTACGCGTGAAAC